ACACGTCACGCTGTCCAGGCACCGCTGCGGTATGAGTTAATCTGAGAGACAGTGGAGCACAAAGGCTCCGGAGAAGAAGCCGAGTTAGTGACATCCAGAATGGCTGAGTTAGCAAGATGCAGTAATAGGATGAGAGTGAGAGAGAGAGAGAGAGAGAGAGAGAGAGAGAGAGAGAGAGAGAGAGAGAGGGAGAGAGAGGGAGCCCGGTGTATTATAGGGGGTCCTCCGGCAGACTGGGCCTAAGTCAGCCTAACTAGGGGCTGGTACAGGGCAAGCCTGAGCCAGCCCTAACTATAAGCTTTATCAAAGAGGAAAGTCTTAAGTCTAGTCTTAAATGTGGAGACGGTGTCTGCCTCCCGGACCGTAACAGGAAGAAGATTCCACAGGAGAGGAGCCTGATAGCTGAAGGCTCTGGCTCCTGATCTGCTTTTGGAGACTTTAGAACAACACTCCCTCTTTTTGTTACTGTCCCTCTACTGCAGACCAGCAAGGAAACACTGTCCAGTGAAACACAAAGAGGAAGTTTGTTCCAAAAAATAATAACTTTGCAAGATATCCAGTTGATTTGTCTAAACTCAGACTGCCAAAGCATCAAATTTGTTTTACACAAATGAGGGCTGTAGATTTTGTCCTCAGTCGCTGACATTGAAAGTGTAGTCCTCTTTGTGTTTCATCAGGCAGTGTGTCCTTGCTCAGCTGCAGCTGAAGGATAGTAACAAATTGAGTTTTGTACTAAAAACACTAACTTTGGATGGTAGATACCTGATTTCAGTCATGACCACTTTAGTCAAAGAAAACCTTTATTTTCCTTTGCAGCGAGATATTTTTGGGGGTACAGCGCTGTTCTGTTCTGTACCTCTCTGCCCTTCCATGTGCATACATGATTGGCCTAAAACAAGGAGAGCATCAGCAAAGACCCCCTCAGGTCCAGAACAGAGCAGGTATCGGTGACAACAGAAATGACACTGACTAGTCAGCAGCATGAAAAGAGGAACTGGGATGGAGGCGGGTTGCAGAGGAAGCAGCAAAGGTATATGCAGGCTGTGGCGGCTTAAATAGGGCGCCCTGAGTGAGATTTAATAATTGGATGCATAGAAGGGAGTCAGCTGATCAATCAGCTGATTGGGCTGTTTGAGATCAGCTGACATAGATGGGATGTGTGAGCTAAGCTTGACTCCTGCTCTGCCTGAACTAACACTTTGCTCTATTTGTCTAATATTTTTTTAATATACATCAACATTAGCAACAGAAATCTTTAGATTCAGGACAACAATCACTGACTGATTCAATGTGGATACACTTGATTTTATGTATTTATCAGCTTATGGACTTGATGATCTAAAAAGGAGACCATATGTATCACAAGTACATCAAACTTTAATATCAAAAACTTTAATGAATAAATTATTTGAATGCTGAAGAACCAAAGGGGTAATCTGGCATATTCATACATTATTCATCAATAATGTATGTAGACAAAAATCTAAAAAGCTGTCAGCCTTTAAAAAAAAGGGGTTATTATTGCTTATACACAAAATAGCCGACATTTAATACGCATCTTATATATACTGGGTATTACATATAAAATTTACTTCTTTACTTCTAATCTACTTATCCTGCAGATATATATATATATATATATTAATTAATTAATTTATTGCTAACTACATTTTTTTCATTTACTGGTACAATGAAATATAGTAAATTTAGGAACCATTTATTTATTTATTTATTTATTAATTTTACATTTTTGTAACTATGTAATTGATCATAGGGCCCCAAACAGACTTAAATTTCCAGATGAGTTTCTCATCTGGAAATGGTGACTTTCACTCCAGCAATATTCTTCTACATATTAATGAGGATACAAAGGTAATATTGTCCTTTGTTGTCCTCCTAAATGTTTGATGAGCTCATAATATTCCTGAAATGGCCATTTCTGCACACAGTGTCAACACCATGTTTAATAGGCAGCAAGGTGTTTGAAGAAAGAAGAAGTGTTGGGAGGGTTACTTTTAAAATGTAATTGGTTATAGGTTACAAGTTACCCTATTAAAAATGTAATAATTAATGTAACTACTTAATTGAAACAGCTGATGGCCAAAAGATGCAAAGCAACATAATGAATATTATAATCTACATATAGAATATTTACCAAAAAGAATATAGTCAAATGTAACCCTTTTGTAATTACCAACATTTTAATTAGTAACTGTAATTTAATTACATTTTTTTTTTCTCAGTAGGTGTAACTGATTACACTTACATTTGTTTTATAATTTTATTACTGTAATTAGTTGCATGCAACTAGTTACCCCCCAGCACTGCTGCTCAGTCACCTTATAGACAAGGACAAGACCAAAACGTGTGTCATGTTTGCTGGTGACACATGACATCTATTATAGGTATCAATGACACTTTGTCATTATTTAATCAGTGTCTGTGATGACGGCCTTGTGTGACTGATTTGTCTTGATGTGATGTTATACTGTCATTTGTTCTCACTGACACATCCTGAATAAATAAACACTTAACTAACAGCTGAATTACTGAGACTTCTACATGTAAAAGCCGTAGTAACTGCTGTAAATGTGTAAAAGTGCTAAAAATGATTTTGTTTGTGTCTTTACTCCCAGGTTTTGTTAAGGCCGTTATTATTACATACAAGCTCTGTAAAACAATTTCAATTAAAAGCAGAAAACAATCACACTTGGGTGCAGTTTTAATACAGAGCACAGTCTGAAGTTCTCACTTGGTACACCATGTCCCCCTCACCATCCTAAAATTATTTACTGTGTGCAGTAACATATAGCTGGTACAGCAGCATGCCAAAATGAGACTGATAGGAGAGCTCTCCGTCTCATGCCACATAACAAGCAGGAAAAGTGATAGGTCTACTTGGCTCTTAGACAGCATTTAGGAGGCGTGTGCTTTTTCATGCATGCCTTGGACTGTCCTGTACGTATGAGTCATGAGGCCAGTGGAAATGTACATATAGTACATGAAGAACATTTTGTGATTGAAGGCTGGATGGTATCTGATTGAGCGACCACAAGAAGGAAAACAATCAGGATACCCGCTCTGACCTTGTCTTTAATGATCCACAACCAAAAAAGCTTGACAAGTAAAGTTACAAGTGCATTAAAGTTTTCAGTATTTATACATTTAAAAATCAAAACACAATCACTCAGATAAATCAGAACATTCATAAACATGTACACTTCATATTACAGAGCATGACCACCCTGATGATGAACGTTTTACTCCACTACATTTATTTGACAACTGGACTGTAGGATTTTTGATACCAAACCTATGATAAGCCTGTACAACATGATGCACTTTCATAAATCCCATAACTTATTTTTACCCCAGCCCTCGTTTTCATGTGTCCCGTTGCCCCGTGGAACAGAGATAAAAGGGGCAGTGGGTGAAATCTTCCCTCATGAAATGGGAAAACCCTTCAAGACCCTGATAAGTCATCATTAGTCATTGGTGGCGTTTACGTAAACAGACGTGACGGTGACAATAATAGTATTATCACAATGACATTTACCATCAGTCTGGAGATAGAAAAGCATTGACATTCGTGATTCACTCACAGCAAGTTTCACTCTATAGATCAATCAAAGAATTCATCAGATAAAAAAGAACATTGTGTCATTACCAGGCCACCAGTGGTGCTCTTGCCCTTCCAGTCTGCACTGATATTAAGGAGCAATAACAAGTGCAGCAACTTAGTTAAATGTCAGGCTTCATATTTCTTCAAAGGGGGGAATGCCACATGGAAATATGTCAAAAGGACTGTCATGCACAAATCAGCAATGACAATGTAACGTTAACTAGCTAACTAGTCAGCTACTGAAACGTCAGCACACTGGCAGCGATATTTTTTCATTTTGCTTGTTATTTAGAAAAGGGCCATATTACACTAAAATTACATTAAACTAAGATAAAACAGTTATACATTTTTAAACCTTTATTGACAAAAAATACATTTGTGGGTTTCTTTTGCTGCTCACACAGCTATCTTGCTCATGATGTCTTATAACACTCGGCTTGAAGCATGCCTCTGAAAATCCTCTTTTCCGTGGGCCATGTAGCCCAAACACTTCACCCTGCCCCTCTAGTCCAACAGGAATTGGGACACCCTAGACGTGAACTCACGAACGTGAGGGGGTAAGGGCTAAGTGGTAGGAGAAAAGTGTGTTTTAAGATTGAGCTTAAAGGTATCTTATGGAGCGTTTGACCACTAGTAGCACTATAGAACAATGTTTTGTACAAGCGGGTCCTTGCTTTGTCTGTATGGTGTTGGTGCAAGAGGACACGGGCAATACGATACACATTCCACAGTACTTGATGGTAACAAGAAAATTTGCCAGTGAATAAGATGGCTACTAGCATATACACATGCAAGGATACACATAATGCATTCTGGTGAGACACACTAAATGTTAACAAAACTTTAATCTACCCAAAGTATATAAAATAGGTCATATTAGCTCCAGTTCAGCCAACAGGAAATGCTGCTTACACATCAGTGCATCAGGCGGCATTCTGCTGCAGAATACTGTTACCTTTAGGCATATCTTTTGCTGATGATAGCTCCATATTTCTTCTTAAGTAAATCATGAATAGGACTTATATACTATTTTTTTTATATTGGGGTATTACTCCTGTTACTGAAGTAGACTATCTATTACCTCCTCCATCACTGGTTTCCGGTATTATCGTGATTTTCTTGCTGTCCAAAACTTGGAGAACTGGAGGCTTTCTTCAGCAAAGATACAATGCCTTGAAACTTGTTCAGCACAGTGCTTCAGTTTCTGCACGTATGATCAAACAGCTATTTCATTTGTCTGTTCGATATTTACTCCAATGTCCTAAAACAGGAGAAATAACTGTCAGTGCAAATTTATAGACAGTGTTGTAAACCATGCTATGAGAAGTGAATTCTGAGCCACTTAATCATCAAAAGAACTCACTTTCATTCAGCGCAATTTCTTAGCTATGGTTGTCCAGGCAATCCCGAATACGATAAAACACATCAGTGTGAAGAATGCTGCACCGAGCACTGCCCCTCTGTTCAACAGACCTGGGAGACCAAAACTGTCATTAGTGAAATCAACACTTGTAATTGCTACATGCAGTAATATTTAACTTTTCTCACTTTGAGCTCTTAAGCAGACATGAACATGTCCTCACAACACTGGCTGTGCCCCACAGGATTCTTGTAGACTTTCTCACACTTATATTCTTTAATGTCACCGTAATTGGTAATAGTTACATCCTGGAATCTTCGACAAAGAGGCCCATCATAGTGGAGTGTTAAATTCTTACCTGCAGGTTCATCTTCGACTAATATAGCTGTAGCTTCAGAATCATCACTGTGCGTCTCTATGCTGGTGCCATCACCACCTTCCAGAGGAGCCGCAAAGACTTCTTCCTCGGAGACAGCTGGGGCAGGAGGAGCTGTGTCAGGTTCAACTGGGGCTTCAGTTAAGATCTCTGTTGCAGCGGGAGCATCTGTTGCAGCTACTGGGACTTCCTCAACCGGATCCAGTGCTGCATCTATGGTGTCATTCTCAGATAGGATCTCAGTGACAGGTGTGACAAGTATTTCTGTATCGCTGTCACCTGCTGTGTCCTCATCCAGGGCTGTTTCCGTTGGGACAGGATCTGATTGGACAACTTCTTCCTCTGTGTTGTTCTCTGGAGCATCTTCTTCTGGATCTTCCAGGGGGGTGATAAGGCTTGGGTCTTCTGGAGCTGGTTCTTCGCTGGTGGGTTTCACAACAACGACAGCAGGGTCTTCTGGGGCGATTTCCTCTGCAGCCTCTTCCTCCTGAGCTTCTTCTTCTGTGTCAAGGAAAACAGATTCATCTTCTTCTGGTACATCAGGTAGAGGCTCTTCATTTGTAGCAGGGTCCTCTTCTACATCTTCTTCTGGGACTATTGGGACAGGAACCTCTGCAGCTTCTTCTTCTGCATCCTCCTCTGGAGCTTCTTCGTCTGGCTCTTCTGGGGAAACTACCTCGACTGATTCTTCTGTAACTTCTTCCAGCTCTGGCTCCTCTTCAACAGGCTCCAAAGGAACGATGACAGCAGGTTCCTCTGGCGCGGACTCCTCTGGTGCTGTTTCCTCTGCAGCAGGTTCCACCTCACCTTCCTCTTCGGTCTCAAGCTCTACAGGAAGGAGGGCATCATATTCCTCTTCTTCTAACGTACTGGGAATGGGTTCTTCATTCGTAACAGGATCCACTTCCGCATTTTCTTCCAGAACTTCAGGAGGAGCTGCTTCTTCTTCTTGTGCATGTTCCTCTGCAGCTTCCTCGTCTTTTGTTTCTGAAGAAATAATGGAGACTGTTTCTTCTTCATCCTCTTGATCCGGCTCCTCTTCAGCAGGTACCGCAGGGACGACGACAGCAGGTTCCTCTGGGGCTGACTCCTCTGGTGCTGTTTCCTCTGCAGCAGTTTCCAATTGACCTTCCTCTTCAGTCTCAAGCTGTACAGGAAGGAGGGCAACAGATTCCTCTTCATCCAACGTACTGGGAATGGGTTCTTCATATGTTGCAGGATCCACTTCAGAATTTTCTTCCAGGACCACTGGAACAACTGCTTCCTCCTCTTCTGTTTCTAAAGAAACTATAAGGACTGTTTCCTCTGGTTCCTCTTGATCTGGCTCCTCTTCAGCAGGTTCCACGGGAACAATGACAGCAGGTTCTTCTGGGGCTGTTTCCTCTGCAGCAGGTTCACCTTCACCTGCCTCTTCTGTCTCAAGTTCAACTTCTGCAACGACGAGGACAACAGATTCCTCTTCTTCTGGCAGAGCAGGTTCGACTTCTATAAGTAAAGGTTCTTCTGGAGCACCTTCTTCTACAGCATCCTTCTCTGATGCTTCATCTTCTGGGGCCTCTACAGGGATAAAGGGGATTGGTACTGCTGGAGCTGGATCCTCCAGATCCTGCTGTTCTGGGGATGTGTTTTCTGCAGCACCCTCTGCAGCAACAGCAGTTTCTTCTTCTACATTTTCATCTGGAGCTTCAACTTCTGCCTCTGGAGCTACACCTTCTGCCTCTGTAGCTTCATCTTCTGCCTCTGGAGCTTCATCTTCTGATGTTTCTAAAGGAATGACTGGGATCGGTGCTTCTGGAGCTGGATCCTCCACATATTGCTCTTCACTCTTTACAGCAGCAGCTGGGGCAACTTCTTCTGTGGCTTCATCTGGAGAGACGTCTGTTAGGGCGACTTCTTCAGGGACAGTTTTCTCCTCCACTGCAGCCAAAGGCTCCTGAGGGGCATCAGAGACCTGATCTTCGATTACAATTGGTTCTGGTTCTTTTGCAATAACTGGAATGTCTTCTGCAGCAGGTGGTTCCACAGGAGGTGGAGCTGCTTTAGGTGCAACAGCTGGAATGACTTTCTTCTGAACTGTTTTTTTCACCTTAGTCAAGTTACTCTGGCCTTTAGCTACTGGTGCAAGTTCCCCTGGTCCTGGTCCTGGTCCAGAGGACTTACCAACTTTGGCAGCTGCAATAGAAGTTAGAGACTCAATTACAACTTGAACTGGTTCTCCAGTGCCTCAACAGCTTAACCACTGGGGTTGTTCTCCAAGTTAGACAACAAAGGAACCCTTATATACCTAGAATATATTTTATTAAATATCAGAACATTAAAACTGGGGATTTTCTAAAATGTATTTTAGTTGATAAAGTTAATCTATAGATTTGTTTACACTTTCATTTTTATGTTGTATAAATGTTCATAGAATTTGTCAGTAATGTGAAATAAATGTATTTATTAAAGCTTAATTTGTTAACTTTTAGAAAAAAAATCTGATTCAAATTGTCACTATATTCATACAGCATGAAAATAGTCAGATATCTCATATATATCTCATATTTCTATGCCTACTCTATTGCCTTGTAGCAATTCCAAGGAGTCTCTAATGTAGCTGTCAATCGTGAATCACTGCTCATGAACTGCAGTCTATTTCTCACCTCAGATGTTTACAGGAACATCTTTTAGTGTACTGTTTAGCTGTAAAATGGAAAAGTTTGCTCCGGTGTCCATGTTGGACACAGACAAGTAAAGCACCAAACACCGCCCACGGGCCAGACCAGCTTGCTCATTTTACAGCTAAAAAAACATCTGAGGTGAGAAATAGGCAATGCAATAACAGAATCTTGATTCATATTTGGTCAGTGCTGCCTAGTTTAATGGTTTGACTTAAGTTCACGGAGTGATTGACATGATTGACTGTTAGAGACTCCTGAGCTCTGACTGGTTGCTGACCATGCCGTCATGACTCAGACTCAGAATACATTCACAGTTACAGCAAACATGACACAAAGTTATTTTCATAAAAATCACCAGCTGTACCTTTTAAGTTTACTTATGATTTACTAAAACACATAAATAAATACATACAGGCCCCAAATATGACAATACAGTTCAGTTCAATTTGACAGCAGCATTCAGTAAATAATAGTTTGGACTTTAACACTAATTGTAACACTAATTGTAAGGACCTGAGGTTAAGCATAAGTGCAGCTTTTGTCCCAAAAGTCAGCCCTACAGGACACTATAGCTCTGAACGATGGCTGATTATGTAACAGTTAGGAGGATCTCCAGGGACCTGATACAAACAGATCCAAGTTTAGTCCACGTGTCTCACAGGGGAGCATGCTAACAGGAGCAGGTGTGTCATTGAACTGGCAATGAAAGTATTTTGAGTTTGGTAGTTAATCACATCGGCGCTGTCAGGTGCAGAAGTTTTATTCTTGATTTAAGGGGGTGACTGAGCTCATTTTCCAAACTGACGCATATATTTTATTACTCATAGCTGGAAAATACCTCAAGCGATATTTACCTTTCCCTGTCTTAGATTCTGTCAACTCCAAGCCTACCAATCATAAAACATCAAACACAGGTTTACCCTATTAAACAACATATTTACACACTTATGTGATGTATTTCTGAATTAAATGGGTGCATTCAGGGGAATTTTGACATTAATGTGATCATAAATCAACAAATATTAAAGAATTGTAACTCCGGCAATCTGCTGAATTGGTTGTAATAATTACAACCAAGAAAATACATCAGTAAGAATTATTATTAACATAATTTTGCATATACAATATGTAGAAATCTAAATATATATTAACAGCCTATAGTATTTTATGAGGCTTATATTATTTCCCAGAGAGGCAGCTGTGCAATCATTTTTTATGTCATTGATTTAGAGCCAATTAATTTAAAATAATTGTGCTTATGTCAAAGAGTGCAGAGGAAATGTTTGGCTTACGTATCGGTGCCGATGAGCATAGCTGAACACATAGGACCAGGGTCAGCAGTAGCAGAGAAGAAGCTTTGAACATGATGTCCGTCTTGTCAGAGTCCCTTCATTAGAGTCAATCAACTTCCAGTACCTCCAACACTGCAGTCAGATCGCTGCCCCCACTATGGAGGAATATCTTTAAGGGGTTGAGGCACACGTGTAAAGTGTCAGCGAGGACACACGTTGTTGAGACGTTGAAGTGACACACCATATGGAAACACTGGGAGGGTGCTTTGAGGGCTGCGTGGGTAAAAAGAGAAACCTACTGTGAGATACGATCACATGGACGTCTTCTACATGACGACACCAGCTGCTCCTTATCCTGGATCAAAGGTCAAACTGTTTAAATACTTTACTGAAAAGGTTGTCTATAAAGCTCTGTAAGAAAGAGGATAAATAATGTTACACAATATATGTATGTATGTTTCTACACACTACATGAAGATGCATACTGCAGTTGCTTAAATAAGTGTTTATACTCTCTGATTTGCAACCACTGAACTCCTTTTCCAAGATTCTAAAATAGTTTAGGTTTACAGCATTCATTTTTGCTTCTCATTAATATTAAAGGGACAGTTTACCCCCAAATCAAATGTACTTATTTTCCTCTTACCTGTAGTGCTGATTATCACTCTAGATTGTTTTGCTGTGAATTGCTGAGTGTTGGAGATATCGACCATAGAGATGTCTGCCTTCTTTCTAATATAATGGAACTAGATGGCATCAGCTTGTGGTGCTCAAAGCTTAAAATAAATAAATACATTTTAAAAAATTAAAATTAAAAACTCAACAGCAATGTCTCTTTCCAGAAATCATGATCTGGTTACTCAAAATACTCAGAGGAGGTGGCCAACGACACCACCTTTCACCCACCTACAATGCAGTCTCAGGATCCCTCCCCAGACGACTTCATACCCATTCACACCTGGTCCCGTCTAACCCTAACGACTCACATGTGACCTTAGTGGCTCTGTAGGGTGTCTGTGAAGATTCTCAGTCATCCAGGTCATGGTTATCGTAAGTGCTATATCGTAGACAACTGGACTTGCTTGCGTTTCTGTCGGGTTCACACCCACACAAAGTTCAAAGCCTGCGACTCTGCACCAGTCATTTAGAACTGAAGAAGCTTCTTGGATGAAAGTCGAAATGTCTTCAAGAAACGCAAGCAAGTCCAGTTGCCTACGATGTAGCACTTATGATTACCATGACCTGGATGACTGAGAGTCTTGACAGACACTTTCAGAAAATGCACACAAATAGGGACACAATGTACGCAGTATATAGACAGAAGGCCCCGTCTATGTCCATATACATATCTAACATTAAGCAGAAGTGAGCCTTAAGAGGAAAAATATGTACTTTAGACTTTGGGGTGAACTGTCCCTTTAAACTTAACTCCTGACATGAAGCATTTGGCATGTCGACAGTGTGCTTTCATGTTTTTGAAAGGGGTAGGCTGGCTATGCTACCACCTGTCCTACTTCTAAACATCTCACAGGTCTGACAGCAAAAAAAAAAAAAAGCTGCTTTCTGTTTAATAGAAGAGCTCCCATATGTTATCTCAAAAACATGGGTTACTTTATGGTTGGGTATTGTATTTTACTTAAACGTTCTGCTTTGTAAAGCTGATGGAAGTCTCGAGGAACAAAGCTCAAACAGCACATTATTCCACAGTGAAGTTACCATATTTTATTTCTTTAAGTGCCATTCATGCATATTGGGGATGGGGGTGGGGTGGGCGGTATCGACAGTTCTAATAACACTTGAGTTATTTTACAGCACTAAACGAATACAAAGAGTAGCTGTGTCACCTCATTGGACAACAAAAGTAATAAACCGTGCAATAAACAAAAAAAGAGAGGACAAATAGGAGAAAAAAAAAAATACAAGAAATGACAAAGACAAAATCAAACAAAACAGAAAAATAAAACACAAACCAAATATATATTATCAACACTGAAACACTGAATGTAGAACCATAGTACAGGTAAAAGGTAGTGTCACACAAAAAGCCAACGCATTTTCATCACATATATACAATATAGATATATACATACTGTCACCCTCTGATTGGACAATAACAAAATACTCTATTCTTTTTCGCTCCTGTCTTTCGTGAATAAGACCCACCCCGAGCCTTGATACCCCACCCCCAAGAGGAAAAAAGGGATGATTGAAAAGACATATATGTACAAGCACAACAACACACCAGCACTGAATAAAATAGGCCCCAATCAGCAGTACTTGTTGGCAGTTCTCTCCCATATTGTAACAAGGCTTTTTTTTTTCTTTTTTTTTTTAAATCTTTTTTTCCCAATAATAGTAATCTCTCTGGCAGGTACATGTCCAGCGGTATTTAAAAACTTAAATTTTTGAAAAAGAACTAAAACTCACGCAAGCAAACACACAAATACACACACACACACACGCACACACATACAGACATATTGTAAAATTGTGATTGTGATCCAGTCATTGTCTTCACCTTTGTTTTTTTTCCCTTTTAGCCACGTCCGTTTTTGCTCAATTTTTCCTCAATGGGCTGCTGTGCTCTAATAAGTGTGTTCACAATCTTCACCTGGAAGGAACACACTTCACCTTCACACCAACCGAGGACTCGCAGGATGAGCTCTACTGTCGGGTCCACAGAGTCCTAATGAAAACACTCTGTCACTGCTGTCTTCAGTTGCGGTCCTTTGACCCACACTCACCTAAAAGAGTCATGATTCGGGTCACTCAACTGACTACGCATTCTGTCTGAGCACTAACTAAGAAATCCTGGCAGTCGAACAAAACTTTAAAAAACTCATAGTTGAGATCCACAGGCGAGGAACCCCTCCCCATACAACGATTAGCCACACAAACACAGACAAGACAGCGGAGAGAAGCAGGAAGTGGACAGGTGTGATTGGCAGGAAAATATAAAAATGAATGGCAGTATCATCGGTTGAAAGAAGAGGAGAACTTGACTTCATCTGCACAGTGCAGCTGTGGACAGTTGAACAGAAGATCTAGAGTATAAAACTGGGCTGGTTCGAGTTTCAAATAACCTTCTATGTGTTCAAACGTAGAAACATCTGGTTCTATAAAATCCAATAAAACCACCGTGTGAGACATGAACGTGGTTTTTCTCACAATAACAAAGACATTATGTAATATATTGTAAAAAATAATCCATGATTGTCATCCAAATATGAAATCAAAACTACAGTGACCACTGGAGTCCCCAGGTGCTGAAATATCCCAAAGGACATTTTAGGAAATATGCTTTTTTTGTTGAGTCAGATGAGAAGATTGATACCACTTTCTATAATGTGTGTGCGGTAAATATGAAGCAACAGACAGACGGTTAGCTTAGCTTAGCACAAATACTGGAGCAAGGAGAAACAGGTGGCCTGGCTCGGTCTAATGGGAACAAAATCAGCCTACCAGCACCTCTAAAGCTGAGCGTGAGCATGTTGTATCTCCAGAAGTGACTCCACTCGGACAGGAAACAGTTTGACACTCTACCGTAAAAACAACACAGGCTTTACACACATTTTTACCATGAATTTTTAAAACTTTTCCATAATATTTTACCCCATTTCCACGACTTAAAGTAGTTATTGCAGTTGGTTTGTTCTTTGTACACATGTAAAATTGAACACTGGTACATTTTTCAAAGACTGTAAGAACATAATACATGACCTGCCTCCTTACCGATGTTCTCTACTTCCAAAACTATCAGCAGCTGCAACCTTCTGTCACGGAGATAACCTATGTACATCATCCTTTAAGTTTTTGCTCCCTCATCTTGGTTTCCGCTACAGAGTCTTCCTTAAATTCGATTATCTTATGAGCATGGGAGATTATAAAAACAGGATGTAGGTCGGTTGCTTATTTTAATTTGTGATTTTGTGTCGGTCAGGACTCCTTTGCAAAAGAGATCTCAATGGGAATGTTCCTGGTAACATAAAGGTTAAATAAAAATAAAAACAAGTAAGGGTAGGCCTATATAGCAACACAACCATACAGTATTGAACAAGCACTTCCCAGGCGTTTGCCTGACATCCATACATATTTGATTGAATCACCAGGTATCATTAGGCTAAGTGTTGTCTATAAATAACCAACCTGTTAATAGCAAACTGGTTCATCTGGACTGAGGTGGAGTTGGAAATGAGTCTGATTCTGCTGTACTGTATGACTGTGACATTACTGCAGCAGCGGCACACTCAAGCTAACGTTAGCTAACCATCAGTAGTAACTGTCTGTCACCAGCATCAGTTAGAGATTTACCACACTGGCAGTGAGTATTCACGAATCTTATGAGCCACAAATCTCAGTTAACCCGCAACATAGTCTGAGTGGGCAGAAGTTTGCTGCATAGATCAGCCTCTCATTGGGCGGAACGAGCCACCCGCTGAAGTCCCACCCTACCACCTCCGGTTGTGTAGCAGTTTTCAACCGTTTTCAACACGTCCTTTACTAACTTTTGCGGTGTTTGATCTTGTGGGGATGTAGCCATTTTTCTGCCATGGTTCGCGTCCTGTAGGCGATATTTTTGTGGGCGTGTTACGCCAAAACCTGTTTCCCCTCGGCAATATTTTTGCAAGCACACCGTTGCTGTGGCACCGCCCAGAATGACTGTGATTGGTTGAAAGAAATACAAGTGAGAGTTGGCCCAGCCAGACCGGTGAGCGAGACTACCCACAACACAACAGCCTTACTGCATTTTGTCTTTTTAGCATTTTTTTGTCAGTTTTTTGACAGCATGATTCTTTCCAACAAAAAGTACAGGCCATATGGCAGCCTGCAATCAATGCGCTATTTGCAATTGGTCAGATGGGACATTATGTCTCCAAAGAGATCGAGATCGACTACGATACCAAAGAGACAAGAGATCGCTACTGCACAGACTCTGGCTCCAAATAACATGACGAGCACAAGATGGCAGCATGCGTATTTATGTATTTTGGCTTCATTTTTGTAAAGTGGGAGAAAGTGGAGACTCATTGTCCGTCTTTATATACAGTCACTGGCGATGACGCGATGCCTATGTGTATCACGTGATTTTTTTGTAATACTAGTGATGTTTCAACGGTCACACTACTGTAATACAAGGAACATATTTTCTTTAACGTTAGACATGTTTTGGGAATTTTACAGTCACAATTGAAACAACAGAAAAAACAACAAATTTTCGTGTCGCGTTACTCATGTGAGTTTGAACACTAGAATTTAAGAATATTTTGTGTTGACTTGTTTCATACGTGTGTGAAATCGCTGAACTGATGAGTGAACCTCTGCCGGTCTGTCCACTGCGTCAGTCGTTCCCAGAGGATCTCAGTGCTGATTGGCTATCACAGTGTGAATTGGTCGCTCAAGCGTATGACATAAGTCACGCTACTCACTTCATTCATGGCAATTAATTTGTGTATTTTGTGTCACTTCCAACGCACTGCCCAGAGGGAGTTCATGTCTAATCGAGTCTTTACATTGACTTTACATGTAACTCACTCACACAAGTTGTTTTATTAGCACCCGGTGTGAACACAATGTAAAACACACTGCTCCAGGCCTGGAAAACAGTTTCCCACTTTCATAAATTTTCTAAGAATTTCGTGACTCTGAAAATAAATTGACATTTTTTTTTAGCTTTTTTGTAAGGATAAATAAGATACATCATGTTAATTTGTGAGCATTAGAGGTGCTTACAGGCAGATTGTGTTACCCATTAACAGAGCCATGTTAGCTGTTTCCCCGTTTCTAGTCCTTATGTTAACTGTTTCTTTGCTTCATATTTACTGTACAGTCATCTTCTCATCTAACCTTTGGCAAGAAAGCAAAAAGCATATTTCCCAAAATGTTGAACTCTACCTTTAGACAAGGACACACAGTGTTACAGATGCAAAGCACCACACACAGTCCCGCAGCATTGAAGAGAGGAGAAATAATCCTATTAATTGTCAACTGTGGACGACGGCTCATAACTCAGCCTGTCTGACAGTGAGTGAATGAATCAATGAACGAATGAGTGCGAGCGACTCGGAGATCCAGGAGGTGCTTTGCATCTTAAAAACAGTTAAGATCAACAGAAGGTGAAAGTGTGCAAAGGGCTTTTTTTTGTTAACATAGTGTCTCTAAAGTTCAGCACCTGTCTGATTGAGGAGCCACTTGTTACAGGACACAGAGGACAGGTTTCCAGAACCGCTGATCTCCCTTTTCTGTGCTTGAGAAACCCTTCCCACAAAAAAAAAAAAAAATCTAGTCTTTAATCACTGTGTGCATCCGCTTTTGTGCTCATAGATAGCATAGAGATGATTGCAGCAATCAATCATAGCCCTAAAATTACAATAAAACCAAAACACACACGCACACACACCATATGTTCAACACACACACACACACACACACACACATTGTATGAGTCACATTTCTCATTCTGTTATGATTGTATAATAGCAAAATCTGACGCTATCGAACTCTCACAACAAAACATTGGGCAGTTAAAAAAAAAAATAAAAATCATGTCTCCCTAATTTAAATGTCAGAAAAGACAATAAACACTGAGTGTAGCATCGACAACTCACTTTGATGTACGACAGGCGGAAAAAAGGCGTGAATCTGAATGTAGGTTATTTTACAAACCAAAGAAATGTAGAGTAAAACTCTGCTTTTTTTTTGTCCTCTTCAAACGGAAACATCGTCTGATGATTAACATATTGATCATTAATCAGTCGGAGTATTAGGACATGTAGTTTGAACATTAGTTTTTTAATTTTCAATACATTTTATTCATCTACTAGCAATGTTTCATGTCAGTGACGCTTGAAAGCATCAATCTGAAAACTGCATTCAGGCTCTTCGCGTTTTATTATCACTTGTATAAATTATTAGAACATAGTTTGCATACAATTTAAAGTGAAATAGTTTAAAGGAATAGTTTGGCATGTTTGGGAATACGCTTATACCTCCTTTCTTGCGTCAAGTTAGAGAAGGTCAATACCACTCATGTCTGTATGGTAAATAAGAAACCACCTTTAGCTGACAGTTAGCTTAGCACAAAGACTGGAAACAGGGAGAAACAGCTAGCCTGCCTCTGTCCAACAGAAACAAAATCAGCCTCATAGTTCCTACAAAGCTCAGTAATTCACACATTATATCTCCAGTTAGTCAGCGAAACCAGCCAAGAAATAGCCCAGCACAAAACCACGAATTGTCGGTTTTACACTTCAGTTTTTGTACAGATAAAACGAATAAAATTTAACGTGTTAATCAGTGAGCTTTAGAAGAGCTAGTTTTTGAGTTCTGGAACCTACAGACTGTTTACAGTGTGGCTTCATATTTACCATACAGCACAATCTTTTCACCTAACTCCCAAAATGTCCGACTATACCTTTAATAAAACCAAACCTTGCCGATTTGATTTTGATATATTTAAACAAAAAGTTGCTTGCAAACAGAAGTCTATCAAATTCTTGATTGTTAAGGGACATAAAAATACTCATATTTGAAAGTTTAAAAAGATCAGATGTGATATATCGGCCAATATTTGTTTTTTGACATTTAAAGCTGAGGTAGGCAGTTTTATTTTGGCATCACTGGGCAAAAACCCCATAATAAACTTTGAGCATATTGTGATTTACGTGGTCTGAAAGAACATTAGACTTCTGCATCTCCTCTTGGCTCTGTTTTCAGGCTTTAGACTATATAGCACATAACAAAAGACGATGGCCAATCACAGGTCATATCAGAGAGAGACGGCATTCAGACTGAATGTTACAAAAATGCATGCAAGCATGCAAGCCTGATTTAGTAGTTGAGAATCCCACAGACAAAGTTGCTACTCTAGGCAACAACTGCGAAGCAACCCAAAAAAGGAAGTTACATACAGGTAATTGAAAAAGAGAGTCTGATGGTGAATTAAATGAAACACGTGTAAATCGGTGAAGCGTTTCAGTTTTTAATAGTTTAGCCTTCTGCCAACGAAAGCTAAAGGCTCACAGCTCATGTGAGCGAGAGCCTTGATCACAGTGTGTCTTCTTAAAGGGCTTTAAGTTTGCAAAGAAAACTAGAGAGTAATTCTCATAGAATTGCTGCTGTATAATGGACTCTATACCACAATCACGATTGGGTTGATTGAAATGAAAGACTTCTATTCGTATGACGCGTAGGCATATGCCCGAGCTTGTCAGATGGGCGGGGCTTAGGACAAAGAAGGGAGAGCTGCAGGAGGATGGTGTATTTTTTCCCTTTTCCTGAAAACTGCCTACCCCAGCTTTAAGTTTCACTAAAATTGCCACTTTATTGGCCCTTTTAATAGCTTCCATTTTAGATTTACTGAGAACTTTTACTTTTGCCGGTTTTAGACGTGAAACAGTATTTCGTTTTTATGTTTCCTCATAAAAATGACAATAAAAGGAATCTGAAATTGTGACTTGACGCATGCTGAGCGAACAGTTTGAATATCAGCTTACTGTGTAATAGAAACTGTTTCTCTCTTCTCACAAATCTTTGACATTTCTCGGCTATTTATTGTTTCTTATTAGCTGACATATACATGCTAATATAGATAGATTGGTGATAATCCCGTGATACTGGCCTCACCAGTATATCAGATTTTAATGCAAATTATTTCATTGTCTCTGAATGATGGTGGCTTGTTTAATGATCAATAGGTGACTCACCTAAAACCGATGAACCTCACCATTAAAACTGTCTTGAAGATGTGAATTTGTTTAGTATTGATAACGCTTCTGATTGTTAAAGCAATTATTAACCTACATGATGCACACAGAGACCTGAAACCTCAGGTTACTTTGGGTTTAATAAATGTAAAAAAGACAAAACATTTCTGACCTTCCTGCTTTCACCTTCTTCTCACACTCACCATACTCACTCATCTTTGAAGTGCTTGAGACAGAAAAATTAAGGAAAAAAAAAAAAAAAAAGGCTGCTGTACTCCCATTACTAGTCTGTTGCAGTGAGCCTGATCGCACTGGTTGGCTATGAAAACAGATCACGGTACTTTCTGTGATCTCTCTCTGTCTCACGTTCTCTCTTGGTTTGTTTAATATCAAGCCTGCTTAAACATTTAACACCCTGTTCAGAGTTATTGTAAACCTAACTTTGCCACCAATTCAGCCACAGTGGGGCCCACTTTCTCCCAAAAGTGACCAACGAGCACCATCACAATACTCACAGAGACGGCCTGTGTTTCTTAAAAACAAAAAAATGAAATAAAACAAAAACTTTTTTTTTTAAAAAAAAGAGAGATAAACTCATCCAAGAGGCAGCTGAGGCCAATGTCAACACGAGAAGAATTACAAGCTGAACACGTCGCTCAAATCACATAACAGTTACGGAGCGGGGGGGGGGCGGCGGGGGGGGGGTTGGAGGGGTTCAGACTTTGGAAGGCTGCTGGCTAGGGACGGGGAGAGGGCTGGCTGAGGAGCTGAGGAGCATGTGGTTTAGACGTGAATGTGTTCTACTTGTCTCTAGACAAGCACATAAGCAATCACTTTAACATGTCCGACTAAATATGATTGTCTTCAAAGTAACATTTTCTAGTTATGTTTTGCTTTTGTAAAAATGTCAGGACTCTGAAGTCTGTCTTTCTCCAAAGCTTGTCAAATGTTCTTCTGCATCCCACCCACAGTGGCTTCCTCCTCCTCCTCCTCCTGCGGCCTTTCAGCTCAGCCTGGCTTCCTCTGGCTTCCACCTCCTCTCCTCGCTCCCTTTTGTTTTGCAAAAGGAGGTCTAGGGGCTTAGACAATGGAGTCCCAATCAAAGTCATCCTGGATGTCATCAGCTGGCATGCGATGTATCTGGAAGTTTCTGGTAGGTATCATGTGCTGCTGGTTCATCTGTGCATGGTGTCCTGGAGGAAAAAGCAGGAGGAAGGAAGAATCAGATCCGCCCAGCTCTCAGCTTTTCTCAGGGAAGTTTATATATATCCTTTATTAAACCACGTGACAGTCTCATTGAGATTAAAAATCTCTTCTTAAAAAGTGACCTGGCCGAGAGGGCAGGCAAGCAGACAAGCTCAACTGTCACACACCACAAATGAGCGGGCACAAAATCTGGTTAAAATGCAATATATAAAAATATAATACATGAACATGTTGAATTTGTTTTAACAATTTAGTAAAAATTTGAGAATCAATCACATTAACCAAGATGGCACCTAAATATTTAGTGGGTTTATTAATAAAAACAGTAAATCTAAGATTTCATAATCGCTGCAAGTAATTATTACCTCTGCCACGGAGGTTATGTTTACGTTCTGGTTTGTTTCCGTGTTTTTCAGCAGGATTATGGAAAAACTACAGGCCAGGTTTTCATGAAACTGGGTGTAGCACATTAAATACTGGAGCGGATCTGGATCATGGAGGATACACAAACTATTTTTCACTCTTGTTAACACTGCAAATGTTTGGTTATTTTTAAGTAAGGTGTGGCTATGGAAAAGTAAATACACATATCATGCAACCCAACAGTCTTATTCACATGTTACTTGTCCGCAATTAACTCCATCAGAGATTCATTCATTCATTTTCTGTAACAGCTTATCCTGTTAGGGGTCGCTGGGGGGCTGGAGCCTATCCCAGCTGACACTGGGCGAGAGGCGGGGTACACCCTGGACAGGTCACCAGACCATCGCAGGGCTAACCACCCGAGATATCACTTTAAATTTGGCTAAAGATTTCTTCCGAGTGAACATACAGTTTTTCATAACAGTTTTTGACAACAAGATGTTCGTGATGGTATTGTTTAAGCATTTAATATTTGTACATATATATGCACATGATAATGAAGTGTTTTCTGGTTTTCAAAAATGTATTTTTTAAAGGAATACTTCAACCAAAAGATGCTCATTTGTATATTAAATCCTCACTGTGCGTTACCTTTAATTTTTGAAGAAAACTTTTTTTTCTCACATTATCTGTATGTGGAACGGATAATCCAAAAAGGCTAAATTTTATCATGAATTTAAGTAAATGGGTTTAATAACAGCAAAACTATATGAAAACATCAGTTTTTAAACTCTCACACAACTCATGCAGCGTAATGCAAGTCTCATTTATCCAGTCATATGCTCAGTACATCCTAAACACACATGCTTTTGAACTCCACTCTAGCGGAGCTCAGCATGCTCAGGGCACACTACTCCTACTACTCCAAGTGTTTTAAATCGTAAAGTTTTAGTGAAAATGCATGTGTTTGGGAAGTACAAAGCATACAGCTGGATAAATGATACTTGGATTATACTGTACAAGTTGTGTGAGAGTTTGAAAATGAACAATTTGATATAGTTTTGCTGTTGTTAAACATGGACCCTTTACTTCAACTCATCAGGAATTTTCAATAATTTTTGGATTCATCGTTTAACCTTGAGGCATGCAAGAAAAACGAAAAAGTTTTCTTCATGAATTCAAGATAACACGCAGTGAGTAACCGATATACTAATGGTCATTTTATGGGTGAATTATTCTTTTAAGTGTAAAATATTTCCAATTTAAAGTACAAAATAAATGTAGAGCTGAAATGATGAGGCTTCAGCTAGGCACAACCACATTTTGACATAATTCCAATAGTTTTGGGAATATATTGGACATAGAGTTTACAGCAGTTACGCTTGCAGATTCGCACAACATAGAAGACCAGACTAATGGCCTTAGCGGAGGTCCGGGCTCTCTGAGTGCCCTTCTAGTTTGAAACATATTTCTACTCTGTGGCTTTGTGTCACCTGTCATTGTGGGTCCTGTGCTGCTCATGGGGGGCATGTGGGGATATCCTGGAGGACCCATCATGGACATACTCTGTCTGGTGTCCATGTAGAGATTTCCTGAGGAGAGAATCAGAACAAAAATTTACTTAAAGCATAAATTACAGCAGGTAATGCAACTCCTCAAGTCCAGTGATGCATCAATGAACAAAACAAGTGTTTAGAAGGAGTTGCATGTACGGCCATTTTACAGGAGGATCTCTTAATCATTCTTAATCATAGCTAATACTCACAGGTGAAACATCATGGTCTCTTTTACTTTTATTTACACATCTGTTTGTTGATATCAATGTTTGATCTACTATCAGCTACACTGAGTTGTTAAAATACCTGTACCTCTCCTAAAACAGTAAAATATCTTTATAATGTCAAAATGTTTGGAATTTTTATCAGTAATGTTTCAACTCACAAGGTTTAGGAGAACAGATAAAAGCTTAAATCTACTAAAAAAGAGCATATTTTTTTCAGATATTCTACTTTATTTTTTTCCCCCCAGGCCTCGAAAACATTATGTTGTTGTTGTGTTTGGCTGAACTGGTCACAAATGGTAGACGTGTTTTAACCCGTAACAAGGAGTTGAAAGTAGACATTGTTTTGTTTTAAGGGGTCATAAGCCAAAAAAAGTTGGCATGAAGGGCAAGCAGAGCTCATGGTGTACTGTGCACTGTTTGCACTTTCTGATAGAGGGTACTGTAAGAGAGATACATTCATCCGACAATGGACCTGTGTATTCTTTTTTTGTTTTAAAACAAACCTTTTCTCTTTTTCCTTCCAGATAAACAGTCGCAAAGTACTCATAGCTGTACGGACATTACAGTTGTTTTGAAGTTCTGCATAATATTTACATGATCTTACCTATGACACAAAACCAGATGAAATGTAAATGCCTCTTTCAACATACATGATGTGTATTATTTACCTCCCATCAGAGGTAAAGACAAAGCCACTATCTCTTTTAAACAGTTTGGCTCTGTGTTACGGCCACTCTCTAAATTGCATCTTTTTTCCCAGCAAAGAATCTAGAAACAGTCAGCCATGCTTTCATTAGCACCATAGCACCTTTCCTTAGCATTTAGAGAATCTGAACAGCTTTTATCATGGCTGCTTTACTTCAGGGTCATTTCACTCAGTTAGGAATCTGCCTCAGCACAAAAGGAGTATTTGACCGCAGCCTGAGTCCTTGGAGTCATGGCCCCATGACTCTGAAATAACCTGCTGGAGGAGATCAGGCTGACTAGTTTAGTTTCTTCTTTAAACTCTCTCAAACTTTCTCTCTTGAATCAGTTATTCTTCTGTTTTACTTTACTTATTTTTACTGTGTTTAAGTCATTCATACCATTCTTCCCATTATTTTCATATTAATTCTTTTATTTTTTATTTATCTGCTAATTTCTGTTGTTTTTATGTCTTTGTAAAGCATTTTGTACCTTGTTTGTGCAACATAAATAAAGCTAGTATTATTTTATAATGATTTAATTGTGACTTGTACAAAAACTACCCACCACATCTACACAAAGCCAGTCAAAATGTAAATAAGGCAGGGTGTTTCACCTGTGTTGAGGTGCTGGCTGGGTTTGTTGGGGTGCATGGAGCCATGACAAACAGGAGGCTGCACTGCCCCTTGTGGCTGGATTACACCGGTGCGGGCAAAAAACTGATTGATGGACGAGCAGAGGTCGGCGATCTGGGTGGGCTCCAGGGACCAGTTGTTCAACTCCGCTTGTCTCATACTCTCCCTCAATCCTTAGGAAAATAAGACACACATTTATAAGAGAGAATACCAACAGTTATGATCAGAGCTTGTGACAGCGTCTGTCTGCACTTAAGTGCCTTTGTGACAATGAAATGTATGAAACTGCACCAGCCGACTGTCCAAAGAATTTAAATTTAGCAAATGAGAAACTAATTTATAAACACGAAGCAAAAACTTTGGCTGCAATATATATTCATTATGTCAGTAACCTTCAGTGGGTGATATTTAAAAAACATCCTACCTTGCAATCCTAGACTGTAATTGGATAAACTGACCTGCTGAGCTTGGTGTTTTGGTAATTAAACTTGAAGGCAGTGTTATTTAATTGAAGAGCTCAGTTTAATTAAACTCGTAATCAACTCCACAGTGTCAACACTTCAGCACTCAATCAAAAGCTGGGGCAGTACTGTACTATCAGCTCCTGGCTTTAAATGTTTCCTTTCTTCTGTCATCTAGAAAAATCTTAATCTCCGACAAATAAATCAAATGCATAACAAAACGATTATTTCTTTAATATCTGTAAATACAATAAGGTCTATCTGTAGTGTCCAAACCGCACCTTGGAAAGGTGAAAGGTCGACATCAGCCCAGTTATAGCTGCTAGCAATACGACAGCTTTCTTTCAGTGCATCCAGATTTGGGTACCAGTCAGACAGTAAACCTGCAACACACACACAGCATACCCACTGTAACATTACAAGATAAGAGACTTGAAGGATACAGGTAATTTTGGTTCCAACACCAAGTTCACTCCTGGGACAAATACAGATTTAGTCCTAATTACATCATTTACGGACAACTGCACAATAATTGCTGCTGTAATTGTTATATACTGTGGGTTAGCTAATCAGGCCAGATGATGCATTTTCATTGTAGTCACATTTTTTATAGCTGTGCAGGCATTTGTAGCGCCAAATGAATGAGAAGGTAGCACCAAATAAAACATTTTATCAGGCTCTTTTGAACAGCTCAGCTCTGTGTTGCGACCACTAGGAGGAGCCAGTCGACTCTGTAAGAGCTGCCGAAGCCGCTGGATGCAGCATTGCTTTGTTCTCACAACAGCACAGATAATAAATCAGGTGATGATTTACTGTTTAGCATCTACAACAATTTCTGAATTCTTTATGACTAAAAAAAATGAGGACTAATACAAATCCACATTCAGCTGTAAACATGCTGACGTGTGTGTGTGTGTGTGTGTGTGTGTGTGTGTGTGTGTGATGAACAGGATGAGTAGAAAACAGCACGGTGCAGACAATGACAGACAGAGGGTCTTACCTGTGTTGCAGGCCATCTGTTGCTGGGTAGGATGGGGCTGGTGGGAGAGGCTCTGGTGCTGCTGTCCGTGTTGAGAAGGGTGCTGGCTGTGCTGCGTGTGTTGGGAGGGGTGTGGCGTGTGTTGCTGTGGGTGCTGGCCGTGGGACGGGTGCTGCGATGGGTGCTGCCCATGCTGGGAGTGTGCAGCGTGCTGGGCGTGCTGTGGGTGCTGACTGTGTTGGCTGTGCTGGGCGTGTTGGCTGTGTTGGTTGTGTTGGTTGTGTTGGTTGTGGGGGCCGCCGTGCTGCGGGAGGTGCTGTGCATGCGGCGAGCCATGGCCAGGGTGGGCTTGGGCAGGATGGGACAGGGGCACCTGGCCACTGTTGGCGGAGTGGCTGTTGGGGTGGTTGTTGGGTTGGTTGTTTGACAGGCTGTTCTGAGTGCTAATGGTGCCACTGGGGGAGTGCTGATAGGAGCAGGAGGTGTGGGTCTGCTGGGAGGAATCTGACGGTATGCCCATCAGACCTGGGAAACAAAACACACCAACACCAAGCTTGTAATTAGGGGTGGAGGATATAGAAAAAAAATCAAACATCACAATCTTTCAGGGTATTTTTGCAATGACGACGTTCTTGACGATATCACAAAATACTGAAAAACATCTGATTATTAATCTCAAGAACACACAACTGAAACAAAAAGTGTTTCAATTTTACATGACAGCATAAACATGACAGATTGCCTTGAAATATTCAGTAAAAATACACTTTTTTGTGTGTAAACAACAGTAACTCAGAGGAAGGTTCAGAGTCTGTGTAAATTATACATAAAATATTAATAGTACAGAAAAATAAAGTTTTTTTTATTGAGCTTCCTGTGGGCTTACATTACAACAGGCTTATGAAAAAATGACTGGTCCTGGCAGTGATTCCTGTGTGTGCATGGTGAGTGACAATATGCTGCTGCAGGAGGAGCTGCTACCTGAGTTTACTCCGAAGAGCAAGTTGCTAAATGGGGCTGAAAAGTCAGGGGCTGTTCATAAAACATTCACTGCTGTAGTCTAGGGAGCCCGGGCCTAACGATGGCACTGATTGCACACTGCTGAAGTCGCTTCCCTTTCTCGGACTACTGTGCTAGCATGGAGCCGGGAGCAAATTCGCTTTCAGCCATGCTTGTTGTTGCCGCGCTTAACAGTATGATGTCATTAACCATCACAATACCAAATGTTTTAATCATCTTACAAATTATATTGGTATTATCGTGAACAATATGATATGGCACATCCCTACTGGGGAATATGGAGAAAATTAATATCATGATGTTTTTGACCAAACAACACCTATCAAAATCTCTGTGATATTCTTGGGTTGATTATTGGTGCTTTCACAAAAGATTTTTGATAAATAAACATCAGTAGTGTGGATATTATGATGATGAGGGTAAAGGCAAATAATAGAGCAGCTAAAACAGGGTGGTGGGTTTACAAAATTTATATCACTTTACTGTAATGCTGTCTTTAAAACCAGGGAAAGAGAACACTTACAATATTATGATATCCAAAATCTCATCACTACATCTATATAAACAGACATATTGCCCAGCACTACTTGTAATTTTGCTTAGACAAATTGTCGATAACAGATTTGTTGATCAACAGAAAACTATCTACATTATGCTAAATTTTGTTAACTGATAGTGCTGCATCTAAACTGTCATTATTAATTAATTTGACAAGTATTTTCCCAATTAATCAATAAGTTCCTTTGTCTAAAAAATGTCAGAATGTGATGAGAAATGACCATCACATTTTCCCAGAGTTCAAGGTGACATATTTAAGCATCATGCTTTGTTTTACTGACAGTTAAATACTCCCCAAAATATCTAATTTATAATTGTACAAAACAGAAAAATATCTTCAAATTCTCACACGACAGAAGGTGGAACAAGCTAATGGTGTTTTTGTTTGAAATTGGCTCAAATGATTAATCAATCATACAATTTTCTGCTGAGCCAGTAACCGTTTATCAAGCAAAAATACCAACACTTTCTGGTTTCAGCTCCTCACTTGTGAGGATTTGCTGCTTTTCTCTGTTTCGTCTCATTGTAAATTGGATATATGTGGGAGTTGTCTGTTTGTTACTACACAAAAAGCGAATTGCAGATGCCACCTTGGCCTCTGGGAATCACTGAATCTAAAAATAACTAATTAATTGATATTAAAAATATCTATAGTTAAAGCCCAGCTGGTGAATTGAGACTACGGATTTCACTACAAATGTCAGTCACATGGTTTCAGGCTGAGGCGTATTAGTATAATGCACTTGAGCACAAACACACAGAGAGCCCAGGTCTTCACATGTGAAAACAGCTACTTACACATATCTCAACATCTTAAAATAATGGGATCTGGGCCTCCCGTGTTTAAGTAGTTCTACACTTGAGACAGACCAGCTGCCATTTTGTGGTATCAGGGAATGACTCAGCATCAGTTGTGTCTCTGAGGTTCGCGAGCCCGAGCTGCCGTCGCCTTTCCTCTCCAGCTACACAGCTCTGGATTGTCTTTGACAAATTCATTGTGCTGCTGCACGGCTCTTTAACAGACATGACTGGAGCATGAACATCTGCACACCCAACTGCAATCATCTGAGTGGCAGGGAGTGGTCTTAAGAGGCCCTGTCCTTCACAGCTTTGGCACAGTAAACCTATTTCGCTGGAGTGCTTTTAGAGCTGACTCCAGCCCTGCACCTCCACAATCGGCACGTAACACTCACTGCAGGGGTGACAAAGGTGCATCTCTTATCGGCACAGAAAGCCCATTGTCCAACCAGGGAAATACAGAAAGCAATTAACGCCGCACCAGAATAATAATGCGAGCTCATTACCTATTATCAAAGCCAGTGAATTAGCTCACTGTCTACAGCGGCAGAGTGTGAAATCCTCTAGCTCGATTATTTACGCTTTTTAATTGCTAGAGCTTGTCTGACTAAGAGATTTCACTTTTATGCGCATAAAAAAGGTAACAACTTTGAACTAATGAAACATAGATGATAGATTAAAGGAGAGGAACTCTTTGAAAACATTAGCATGAAATGCATTTGATTTGTAAAAGTAGGTTATACACAGAAAGCTCAGTCTACTTTGCTCATAACCCGCTTGTCAAGTGCTCTTTGTTTATCAGTCAATCAGATTACAAGCAAAAATGCATTTTTGTTCTGCGGGGACTCACAGGCTTTTGGAAAGCTGTGCTCTATCCGCTACTATGTATTATATCATACAAATTCCCCATCATTATGACAAATGAACCTCAAATCCAACAGATTTACTAAGGACTTGGGCTGCCTGCATCCTCCTCCACTCCTCTGATGAAACACAGCCTGCATGAGAGAACATTTCAAACATGACAAGACGCAGAAAACTTTCATGTAATTTGAAAAACATAAAACGAGAAGGATGGCGTATCAATCCTGAATCAACCATTAAATGAATACAGTAACATCTCTTTACATCCTGCGATAAAATATGTAACACGTGAACTCTCAGACTCGGGTGCTTCTGAATATGAAATGAAGCTTCTTCCATGTCGCCCTGGAAAAATACTCAGTATAGATCTGCACTATGGGCCAGTCAGTCTGTCGAATACCTTCTCACTTCACAGGAAACCTAATTAGTGCCTAAAGACTCTCTATAGCCCCAGCTGTTAAGAACAAACCAACATTAGGAAAATCGTTCTGAGAATCATCCTGTTCCTTGATAAATGAAGCTTAGACTCTTTATTAGATTTCCACTTGATGCCCCCATGAGACCACTCACCTTGTTGGCTGAAGGACTGCTCAAAAACAGACTTGTAAAGGCTGCGGAAGGAGGCACTGAGATCTTCAAATTCAGAAAACAGGAGCTGCTTGTCCCTGTCTGGCATGTTGTACTGGGACTGTGGGGGCTGCTGGAGGCTCATAGACTGGGACACGGGCTCTGGGTGACTGGTCACCTGTGGAGACGAGGAGATAAAGAAAGCTACAGAGTTACAAAAGCAAACAGAAATATCAAGTGCGAAATATTATGTTTAAAGCTATAGTTGGTAACTTCTATGAAAATAACTTGGTGTCAAATCACTTTGCTGAAACTGTAATGCTGAAGTGCATGAGACAGATTGACCTGGTGTCACTCCCAGCTTGTCACATACTGACATGTGGACCTCAGTGTCAGACACAGACGCACAGAGGCACCCTATGAGATTCACTGGATGGCTGCATCTTGTGATACTCTGCGCAAATACTGCAGTATAAAGAGCGCTAAAGTCCGCACAGTGCGGGCGGGAGTGGAGGTAGATGGGTCAAACAAATTCTGGACTTTCACCTGAGAGATCACTGTTAGTGTCCTTTGTAAAATCAAGTCAATTAAGTTATTTTAATGACAAGGTAGTGCGCTAGTATGTGTAGTAGTACTAAGGTAGCGATATATATCACGTGATGTGAAATTATGTAACAACCATATTCATTTTAAGCCAAACCATGATGTTTTTTTTCCCCAAACCTAACCATGTGTTTTTGTTGTCTCAACCTAAGTATGTAATCTGAAAAGCAAAGTTTACCTATGTTGTACGTATATTTTGAAAAAGACTGCATGTAAATGTAAAAACAGAAATTACAATGTTAACAAACATATAAAAAAAATAAATAAATAAATAAAAAAAAAAAAAATCTCCCTCCTCTTCCTACTGTCTCTAATGGCAGTTGCTAGAATCTACCACGGCGCACCGAAAACAACCAATCTCTCTCTAACGCAGTTGTCAATCACTTTGTGAACTGTGGTCAAACTGTCAGACTAGACAACACTGTTCAAAGATGAATCACAATTCTGTAACTGCATTGCCTATTTCTTGCTTCAGATGTTTTCAGAAACATATTTTAGTGTACTGTTTAGCTGTTAAATCAGGACGTTTGTGACCCGACCACCATGTTTTAAATAGTTGAGTCAAAACAAAGCACCACCCGACTGGATCACAAACTTTCTCATTTTACAGCTAAACAGTACACTAAAATATGTTTCTGAAAACATTTTAGGTGAGAAATGGGCAATGCAGTGACAGAATCTTGTATATTTGACCAGCGATGCCTAGTTTGACAGTTCATGAGCAGTAGGATTTTCAATGTAACACATACGCTCAGTATATCATCTTAACAACTCAGTCACAAATATCGTCACAGGTTGAAAACAAAAAACAAGTCCTAGGACTTCAACATTATTAAAATAAAAATAAAAAACATAAATGATTGAGGGTATACTGGTACTCAGTTAGACCATTACAATTCACTACCCTTGTGATACTATTGTACAGGGCTCCCAATTCTGACAAATATTTGATTATTCTCATTAGAAACCCTTAACCTTTCTAAGTGCAATACATTCATCAACTCTCTTATCCACACATCCACGAGCAGTGTTTGATTGGACGCCTCAGCTCTGTTCGGTGGTTTCGTTCATGTGCGGTAAGGCCATAAAAAACGCTACAAGGCAATAGAGTAGGCAGAGGAGTGTGATGTTTTCACAGATTATCTGTCTCTTTCAGTGCAGTGTGAATATAGTGACAGTTTCAGCAAATATGAAAAAGTTATTTTTTATAAAACTTACCAACTACAGTTTAAATGTTTAATTTGTGATAGATTTTTTGTGAAAGTACACTGGCTACAGTTCTGCTACATCTGCACCACACACTACAGGGACTATAATGTTCAAACATACACATCAATAATATACATACTTTTCAAAGATACCCGCCATGCTCATCTGGTCATGGAGCCGCAAAAACAGAAAACCTCTAGAATATTCAATGCACAGTTTATGGTTTATGTGAATGTACGCAGCAAACAAACAAGTCAAACACGAGGACGGTTCAGTTCTTCAGAGGAGCCACTGTGATGATGAAGAGGTGTCAGTCACACAGCATGTAAAGAACAATTACACAGACCACAATAATCTAGGTCAGTGCTTACTGCCTTGGCACACATAACATTAAGAGACCAACTCAAATGGACACAAACCCAATACTCTGGTGGCCAAGCAAAATGTATTTAAAACAAAATCAATAGCAATACCTTGTACAAATAAGCAGCCATTTTATCCATGTATTTGTGTGGGCAGTCAATGTTATGCACTGCCCCGAGGTGTGAGATGGCAAGCAGTGTTCCCTCCAGCAACGAGTTCGTCTACAAGATTCATCACAGCAACGGCAGTGATGCAAAAACCATCGCTATTTCACAAAGCAGGACCTGACCCGTGTCAACTGTGGGGCTAGCATTACAAGAGAGGTCACGTCCAATTTTTGATCATAACATCTTCCTCTTCCAAGATGTGGGCAGGCTGCTGAAGTGCACAGCTCACAGTCTGGCTTGGGTAAGAGTGAAGAGGTGATAATAAAGCCAGAGTGTTTACTGTGAGCTGCTGCTTTGGCTGCGAGAGAGAGAGAGCACATCCATCAGGCTGAGCCGATCGATGCCCAGCGCCTGGAGCAGGGAGCACTCTAGGATGCAGGAGGACCACACCAAAGAGGGGGCATCTCTGGTGGGAGGACATCAGAGGAAGCGCTTTTCTTTGTCTGGCTTCCAGGAGCGTGCACATTTTTCTCTGTTTCCCTTAACCCCCTTCCTGATGTTGTACTCTAGCGCATGTCCACCCTGAACCTCGGTCTATTGCTGTCTACGGCTGGCTCCTCTGAAGAAAGCCTCCTGGGGCTTTCTGATCAGATGAAATATGGGCTACAGTACACTTTCTAAGTCTGGCGGTGTTTCATTTTCATTCATTTAGTGACTGTGGCTCTCGCACAGCTTGAAAAATGTGGATAAAATGAGAATTTATCAATTGGCTTCAGCGCTTAGTGCTGAACAAATCATCAACAACACACATTTATATAAATACCTTGTTACAAATACCCAGCTAAGAGACAGTCATGAGCTGCAACATTGACAACCAGAATTATCAGCATCCTTTAAGAAACAGTAAGGCAGCAGTATATTGTAGAAAGGCCACCAAGATGCTACAGCAGGACCTCATTTGTTCTGTCTTTGTACCAGGGCTGGGCAACATATCGATATTACTTTGATATTGCAATAAGAGACTGGACATCATCTTAGATTTTGAAGGCTGCATTACAGTAAAATTATGTAATTTTCTGAACCTACCAGACTGATCTAGCTGTTTTTTATTTGCCCACTTAAGCCAGGCTCAGACTACAGGTGTCTTAAAATACTAACTGATTTTAAAATCGAGTTGCATAAGGACAAACTTCGCAGATTTTCCTCTCTCAAATTAAACTATCACACACTTAAACATTTAGAATAATGGCACATTGAATACTACAGAAAATTCAGATTATCCTGCCAGAGGGAGCATAAATGCACCACCTCACATGATGTCACATGGAAGCAGATATATATAAAACTAAGACTGACGTGCAACAGTGCAATAACTTGCTGTAATGTTAATGCTTTGAGGTGAGAAAAACAAAAGCAAAAGGCTAAACGAGTCTAGATGAGAAAATGGTCAACACGGGTCGTCTTTTCTCCAGTGAGTACTGGAGGTGAGACTTTAGCTGTCAGCTCGGATACTGCTGTTGACGGATATTAAAACTAACTCTAGCCTCAAGGGCTAGAATGCTTATCATTGCTTGGCCACACTGTCAGCTACTCCGAAGTGACATAATTATAACTGTAATCTTCAAGATTTTAAATCCTAAACATCAAACATGATCGAAATTGTTGGGGTGGCCTCAGTGAGGCTGTGAGCAGTTTGGGAGGTTCAAGACTGAGGACTACTGTAGTAGGAGTGAACTGGGGATAAACTGGCCCAAAATTCCTGTAGTCTAAACCCAGCTTAAGTCATTTGATCCTCATTACTCATGATTATTTATTAAAAATCTAAATGTGTAAATATATTGTGAGAGCATCAATAACCCTACAATATCATCGCGGTATCAATATCAAGGTAATTGGTCAAAAATATTGTGATATTTCATTTTCTCCATATTGCCTGGCTCTACTTTGCACCAGCTCAAAATGTAGATTGATGAATGAATGACACTTCTAAAATATACCCCATCGCTGCAGAGTTTTCCCCCCAACCAGAGAGAAGAGCGGTCCTCAGTCTTACCGGTGTATAGCTGTGCACACTGCCCACACTGTTGAGATTGACGGAGGCCAGACTCTGATCAGACAGGCTGTTGTTAAGGCTGCTTCTTGGACTATCGCTCCCTTCCTGGTCTGTGTTGTACAACGCCACCTGAAACACATACATATACATTAGCTTATTCTTTCTCCCTCTCTCACACACACACTCACACTCACACACACTGCTGTGTTACCAATGTCATCTCCACTCTTGCTGATAGTGGAGCATGTCAGCATTCCTCCAAAATAATGCTGGTCTATAGTTGAACAATGTAATTTAGTATGGAAAGCCTGAGCATGTGTGTGTGCTGCGTGCAATGACATGTCATGTGTGTGTGTGTGTGTGTGTGTGTGTGAGTGTGTGACACAAGGTGCTGCTGAACACCCACCACAGTCACTAAGGGGTTCGAGCTGAATGTGTGAAGGGGTCTGGAGACAGCTGAGACATTCCTATCACTAAAGGTCACACTACTGGCGATGTCAGCCACATCTGCTCACCGAGCGCAAATCCGTTTGGGACAACTAACAAAGGATTTCAGTGCAGCCGAGACCCTGACCTTTCAATATAGCAGCGAAACTAGCCGAAGCACTTCAGGACGACAATCTTAATTATCGTCTAACAAGGTTTAGCCCTCCCACCCTTCCCAAATAAAGTGCGCCGTCAGACAATTAAGACAATAGTAAGAAGGACGATGCAGATAATGAATATAATGATACCCACAGAGAATAGCCCATGTGTTGAGTTTTGTATTGTGAGAAAGGAATGGCAGTAATGCACTGATGGTGCTGCAGTGGAAGAGGGCCTGGCATTCGAAGATTGGTGTGTGCGCATGTGTTTGTGTGTGTCCGTCCATGACTGAGTGCAGCATGGTGGCTTCTGCTCATCACTGTGAGTGGAACAGAGTGGGCTCTGTGCTCAGCACAATGAGACAGCAGTGGCAGCAGCCTTCAGGCAGGCAGATTGGCCCGGCCCTGCCCAGCGCCCTGCCTCTCAGCAGCAGCAGTGGACTGAAGCCTCTTGTCTTTCTGCTGAGGCGCAGCGAGCTACCACAGAGGCCACAAGGAGGCAAGGAAGCCCAGGCAGCCCTGACTGCCTTCTCTCCTCTGACTGATTGGCCTGCTGACTAACATGCTGGTACGAATCCAGGACGCACACATGCAGAGTGAGAGCGTCCGATCATATTAAGCCTTTAATATGGAGCTTGGCTCCTGAGCTGGTAGAATGAGATAGAAATGCTGCTATTTAAAAAAACAGACCGCAACTGCTGTACCAGGCAACGCTGTACAAGGAAGAGGGGTGAGGCTGAGGGAGAGGAGAATAGGGGGGTAGTAAGAGAAGCTCATTAGGCAACTCTAGCCTTCCTCCACTCAGTGTGGGCTTGGCTCCAGTGTTCATTAGCGTGAAGGGGAACTCAATGAGCAGCTAAGACTGAAGGCTTAAGCACGTCTACAAAATCAGCCCTACAATGCTAATCAAAAGCAGCGCGCCACAGAAATATAAATGTTATGTGTAATGAAGTCATAAAACAGGCTTTTAGCCTTAAGTCTCTCACCGCAATCTATTTTTACTCTACTCACCCATAAAGTGTGATGATTTCAAAACCTCACTGCTCTGTGGTTTGCGCAGACCCCAGAGTCCCCTGAGTGAAGACACCCACTCAGGCACGCACCGTCACAGCCAAACACCCAGTCGCATCTCACCCACATACATAAAAGTGTGCGCTAACATACACACACACACATTTCTACAGCTACAGATGTGCACAAAGGTACAGTAACACACACACACACACACACACATACAAAAATCACACAGACAGAGGCAGGCATGCTCATACAGGCAGGAGCGGCTCCACAGTAAATACTGTGTACGGTGTTAGCTAGCAGGCGAGCGAGTCAGCGTTCTATTCTTAGCAGTGAATTAAGTAAAAAGCCAGAGGTGTCTTTTACATGGGGGCCTAATCTGGAGCATGAGACATGGATTATGAAATCAAAGCAAGATTGGCCCAGGTGTCTCCAACAATGCCGGCTAGTGTTCAGCACAATCCCTGCATGCAGGATTGAACAGACAGGGAGAGGCAGGAGGAAGAGAGAAGGATGGGATAAGAGAGAGGGAGAGAAGAGGAGGGGAGGAAAAAAAGCCAGACTATTCATCAGCAAACACACTTCCAACAATCCTCTCTTTCCCTTCATCATCACACTTCAGTGCCAGAGTTTCATCACATTCGCACCAATGTTTAGGGCCACCTCAGAACACAACCTCTGGGAGGGAGGGGGGGCTATCGGAGCGTATGTGAGAAAGGCACACAAATAAGAGGGGGGAGGACAATCTTGTGAGGAATGTCTGACAGAAGAGAAAGACGGAGAAAAGAGATTCCTGCTGGTTCAGTAGTCGTCCTGCCAGCCTCTCCCATTGGTCTATCTGAGAAGGCGGGAATGAGGGAGAGAGACTGGAATAGAAAGGAAGAGAGAGAAAACCAGAGAGGGAATTCCTGTGGCTTGGCACACTGCACCGAAAGAGGCGTGGCCTGTCGTGTGTTTACAGTGTAAGACAGTGAGAAACAAGCTCTCTCCGAGGAGTTAGGGCCTCAGATCTGTTGCTATTCCACTTTGTCTTCTGTTCACTTCACTGATGTTTTTGTCACAATCAAGTGAACAAAAGGAGACAAATCAAAACTTCTTTTCTTCGGCTCAAGGAATCACACAGTAGTCGTGTTTTGCGCGGCTTTAATGTTTTCTGCTTGTTGCTCTTCTGAGTTATTTGACTGGAGGTATTTGATGGCAGGAGTCCAAACTCTGAGCTGTCAGCTCTCTACATTAGGGCCTCATTACGCAGTCACCGCTGGTGGAGACTGGTGCTGTGGCAAGTGCTTGTTAGTAGCAATCACAGAGAAAAAAAGGGTCATCTTTCCCCACACTTAGGCCCATGAATCTGTCTGCTACGGCAACATGAAAAATGCTTGTTCTCTATAGAAACAACAGCCCCCAGCTAATTGACACTGACATTCTCGTCAAAACAAGCCGAAACACTCTGTGACATACTCTACATGCGTACATGTACACACAAGTTAGAGCCCACGCCGACATATGCTCAGACTTTCGAGCCCCCCGTCTCACACACACTCACGCACACACTAACTCCTCTTTCCTATGAACACTCCTGTTCACATTAAACAGCTTTTTTGTAATGCTTGCAGCAAATGAATAAGCGACTCTTGTAGGCTTTTTAAAAGTACACCTGAGAGCTGCCCCCACTGGGCCCAGAGGATGAGAGCTTAAGGTTAAAAAGCCTATTTAAATTTCAGAGTGAGCGGCACACTCACAGCTAACAGCTAGCAGTCCCTGTAGCTTTGCTCTGTGATGTACAAGTGGTTCCAAGCTTTTACACATATTAAAAAGAAAGGAAAAAAAGGAAAAAGCTAAAGAGAGCAGAAGGAAGCAGCAGCAGGGGTGGTCACCTGCAGTGTGGCAGCGCAATGTGGTCACAGAATGAGGAACACGACTCTGGGCGTCAACCTCCACTACAGGTGCGAATACAGAAAACCCCCATGCAGTGTGTGGTGTATCCTATTGCATGTCTGCACGGGACTGCATAAGGTCTATCAGGTTGCAAAGTGCTAAGTATCAGTGTGAGCATCATATTTCCATGCTGGAGATAACAAGAGCCTGCTGCCTGTTGTTGTAGAGGAAAAAGGTGCTGCAGTGCAGATAGTTGTGTATTTTGGTGTGGGTTGCATTGCAGAGAAGCTTTAGGCATATGAGCGTGTGCTTGTGTGTGTGTTTGTGTGTATCTCCCCTCCACTAGAGTGCTCCTCTCTCTGTGGGGAATAGTGCTGTAGGTGGTTGGAGAAGTGGGTGGGGTCAGGGTGCAGCCGTGTAGCCAGGTGTGTGTTGGAGCTGGAGGCTGGATGGCTGGCTGTAGTACCTTGTTAGTCACAGTGTTGATTGCCAGTGTTGGAGAGGCACTTCCAGAGATCATACACTCCATCCCCAAAGACTCCGACTCCAGGCTGTACGGCGTGGAAGCCTGTGGGGGTTGGGGGCGGGGTGTGGAGGCAGATGAAAAAAAAATAATAATAAAAATTCAACACTATCTAATTATCAAACACATGAGATCCCACTGCAGGTTGCAAGGTAAAAGACCTGTGTTGTGTTCGTGACAAATCCTCTGCTCAGACCAGATACGCATCCATGTGCACGATGCAAAAAAAATAAAATAAACCATAACTATTGTCATTTGAGAGAGCAACACCTTTATTTAGGTCACATTTGAACTGTGCTTTCTGAGACGATGGAGACAGCCCCCCCCATCCCAACCCTCACCTCCCACCCAAACACACAACGCATGCCCTCGTCTTGCTGTATAGGCGCACTGTTGAGAGAGATAACTCTGCCATGCCTGTCTCACAAAACTGCTTACTGTAAGAGGATTGGCTGCCAACAATACCATTTTTAATTCATGATAAACATAAATGAGATTTCACAAACTCTCAATTTCAATGTCTGAGACTCTTAATGGAATGCCTTGTAGGCAGACAGTGTCTAGAGGGGGGGAAGGGTGAGTGCGGTGCATGTGTCCTACAGAAAACACACTCTTAACTTGGTGCGTTCTTTTGTGTCATGCTCAAATGAACAGAACAGCATCAGGAAAGCTTTAGTCGAAACTGTTGTTGGCAGAGCTGCATCTTAAAAACAATGCGCTTTTTCCTTCGCATTTGTTGTATATAAAATCTCTCGCACTTGCAAAGAGGCGCCGTTTGTTGAATGAATGTGATAAAATTTTGATGCTGTAGGGCGATTACATGAACAGCATGTTAAGTTTTATGTAGTCTCTGTGCTTGTGTGTGTGTGTGTGGTAAAGAGAATGGCGTGTGTTAACATGTGTGCGCACGTGAGTCTGCCTCGCCAGCCTAACAGGATCCTCCCTTTATCGTAGCCTCTGGTGAGCCACATTGTGGGGAAGGAGGAGACAAGAGCTCGCTGTGTCGGGATGCCCCAGGGCCAGGTCAATCTGAGCAGCTCACTAAAACCTGTACAGCTGTACGTAAGGCTGGACGAGACTCATCCATAATTAAAGACAAAAGCTCCCGCTCAGAATAGCTGGCGTGCACAGCTCTGCATTAATTGATGTTTGTTAAAAAAAGTGAGCGCAGAATGTAATGTATGTAATGGCTGCCTTGGGCATAGTTTATTAATAAGGACCCCACTTCATGACAGGCTAGCGAAGCAGCATGGAGAGGCAGTTACATAAAGTCTGGATACGAACTCCTACTGAGTCTGTGTGTGTGTGTGTGTGTGTGTGTGTGTGTGTGTGTGTGTGTGCGCGCGCATGTGTGTGTCTGCATGTGATAGAGAAAGAGTGGGAGACGAAGGAGGGCAAAAGGAAAGGATGGCTGAGGCAGAAGTAGAGACACAGAGGCACAGCTAAACACTAAACCAAGTAGAGATGGAGGCAGAAGCTTAAGCAGATGAACAGCATATGTGGACAAATGTGTTTTCTTGGGAATATGCAGAGTTTCTCTCATCAGACTCACCCGCTCTCCAGACCGCGGCCTCTTCTTTGGCCGAGTGGGCAAGGCGTCCTCCTTTGGGTTGGTGTCAATGGCCCAGTAAGAGCCCTGCAGACAGAGGAAAGACACATGAGCTGATAATACATAACATATTGACATCTCTAGGACGTTTGCACCGGACTGACACTTCCTCTCGCATCAGATCTTTCTTTGATACAACATTATTTGGAAATCAGAGGCCTCATCTGCTCAGCTGAAGTCAGTCAGCCCGAGCTTTTATTTGAGTTGATAGCAGTGAGTTTGTGCGGCGTGTGGGTGGGCTTTGTTAGTACGAAAGGCTTGGCTTTTCCTCCTCTGCGGCTGCTTTTCAATGAGAGGCTGGTGAGGGCAGCTGGTGGTGGTGAAATGCTAAGCCTTTCCTGAAGCTGTACTTCCTCAGCCTCAGGTACTGAGTCAGAGTGCTGTTGCCAAGGATGAAGGCTCCACAGTCTCAGCCCAGGCGCTAGCTCTGCCGTGTTGCTTTCTTCTAAGGTCTGAGCGAGGCTAATCAAGGAGAGAACAGTTGGGGCTGGCTCTGGGGCTGCAGCTAGCAATTCCACAACCAGGCTGCATTATTTATCTTTGCATTCGGCCCCATTTAATTTATTTTTCAATGGTGTTCTTCCTCGAAGCCAACAGGAACGCCGCTCACAGTACAGATTTTTACCCTAAGGCCCTGCAAGTTCTGAATTTATTTTTAATATTTCATATGACCCCTGATAAAATCTCAATTGTCGAGAGAAAGTGAGATCAGGACCTTTAAAATTACTTCCTTAGCAGAGAGAATAATTGGTATTTCCTCGAGAAATTCTCTGAAAAACAGGAGAGGCCACAGGAACAAGCTGTATCTCAAGTATCTATACAATAACCACTGCATAATGGCGTGCTCTTGTTAAAGCAAGCAAATCTGTTATTTTCACAGCTCACACACACCACTGCTGCAATTGTTAAAATGAAAAGCCCGGGTTGGCCTATATTCGTCAGGGGGTTAAAATTATAAGTTTTTAATATGTGCGAGGCTTTGGGGTCAATTAACATTTCCCTCAGAGGGAAGAATAATTCACAGCACAATCAAGCAAAGATGAAGAAACATCTCATATTGATGTAGGCTACAGAAAAAATGCAGCAGAAACCTCATTACATACCCCATGTTTTTACAAGAAAACGCACTGAAGGATGTATGTAAAGGTGAGGAAAAACTGTCTCTACATGCGATCCATCTCCGTATCGAGATGCAGGGGTTAAATGCAGATGTTTCAAAATTAGGAGTCAGAAAGATAAAGTCAGGCTCAGTGGCGTTTCTTTTAATTAGGGGGGGAAGAAAACATTAAGTGAACCCTCATGGGAGGGGAGTTTCTGCATTTCCCTACACCCACCCCCAGAGAGTTGGCAGGAAAAAAAGAAAAACATATAAAGAGTCATTAAATTATTCACAAATATACTGCAATATACTGAAGCAATGCCAAGTAAAGTGTGCCCATGGAGTCTGGGGCAAAGCCACAATATCCTCTGCAGCCATAAAACAAAGGCTGCTGTAAAGATAGTTACAAAAAAAATCCAGCTCCTGATAACACATGTACTCTACCTGCTCTCTACCCATAAATGACGCAGCTCATTTTCCTACATCAACACAAATTTTGTCATCTAGTTCCCCTTTTCTGTGTAAATATAGGAAGGACAAACACATACACAAGTACACTGGTTATCCAGGCAACTCTAGACTGAGACGTACCACCAATTAAAATAAAGATTATTAACGGTAGCCTTCGGAGGCTGCAAGTCTACCTCCGAGGTAGACAGGGTGTGTGTGTGTGTGTGTATGTACAATACCAACTGTCATCTCTTACACCATCTCGGAAAGAGAGAGTCAGACAGAGAGCGACATGACTCTCCTATCTCATCCAACCAGCAGTTCTCATATTCCTGCCACATTACAATATTGATGCAACATATCAAGAGCGGCTAGCGCCTCTTTGAAGTTGTCTTCGGGGGGGAAGGGAGTGAGGAAAATTCCAAATTAAACATTAAGGATGCGAGCATGTTGGCCATGCATTTGGAATGGGATCCATACAGCAATAGATTATTTTGTATTTAGTGGAGCAGCTCCCAGGAGTGTCAATATCAGAGGATTACAGCAAAACATGAAATTAGCATTCAGTCCCCATCCTCTACACAGCTAGGCGTAGCTCTTCATGCATGTGTCGGTGTGTGCGTGCGTGTGTGTGTGTGTAATTATTTGTGCGGTTCCCTAAGCATATGTAGCGTATGCTTTGACAGCACCGGGATGAAATCTGGGTTAGGCTACATATGGTTAGACCTATGCACGCCATCATATGAAACATAGGCCCATAGGCACCCTCCTTCATGAACTACTCAGTGGACCGGGGGACACTACTTATCAGGTTGATGTCGCTACAGATTGCGAAGTAAATCTGGCTCCTACTGAGATTCAAATGTCAAATTAACATGTTAGACTATACATCCTTTTACAGGGAAGAAAAATGGGAGCTGAGCAGAGAGCAAATGAGGTCTGATTTTCTTTCCCTGAGTAGATTCACCTTGAGTAAATACTTCAGGGACACAAGATTCTGGAAATGACCTGACTTCCACCCTGTTACAGCCCCATCTCTACCAGTCTGTGGCTTTTTTTTCCGCCGCTAGCCCACATCTGCTGTCTGTGCTGGTCCAACAAACTAGTCTCTCCTTACATTTGAAATGCAATTCTGTGGGGGTGGGAGGTTCATAATAGATTACGAGCATGCCATGCATTTCCAGACTGTCAGAGTCCTGGCAGCCATTCAAAGGTAACATTTTTCTACCAGAGATAGCATGATACACAACAAAAAAAATGTTGAAACAGTGAATTCTGCCAGCTGAGACGCTACATATTCCCCTATGTGTGTGTTTTTATCATAATTACATGCATTCTTATTAGTTTATAATCAAATGAATGCTTAAAAGTCTCACCTTTCCTGGGTCATCTTTGGAGCGAGGCACTTTGAGAAAACAATTGTTCAATGACAGATTGTGCCTTATTGAGTTCTGTGGGGGAAAAACAGAGAGAAAGGTGGCGAGGTGAGTAAACACATATCAAAAATCAGATTACACAAACAAGTCTGCAGTACTCGAGTGAGGAGAACATCACTGCCAGCAGCGACAAGGGCGTACAACTTGTTGGCATGTATCGTTTAGGTTTAGTCACGGCTCCTGTCATCGAGGTCAGCTCATTTCAGTGGCGTGAGATCTGGCCTGCAACTGTGTCCAGATTTCACTCTACACACACATATAAAAGGAGCTCAATCTGCGCACAAAGCCACCAGGAAGCGATATCTTTCATCAATGTCCAACAAACTGCATTCTGGTTGCACAACATATCAAATTCCTCGGGTGCCAAAAATAGGAGCCAGAAGGAATCCCACACTGGGATGGTTGCTGATACCAGGGCCTGATATTAATTAATGCTTCAGCGAGCTCCTGTGGGGGCAGGAAATAAATTATGTAGATCATTCTGAAAGTTAACTCATTACAGTGTTACAAGCTACTCCACGGCGGTGAAGAGGGAGGTTCATCCAGCTGCCTGATTGGGGAGGCGAGGTGGGCTGAAGTAGCCACAAGGGCTGGAGAGCGATGCTCCAGGCCTGGGTTAACCAGCTACAGATAGGCCCTCAGAACCAGCTGGAGGCAGGCCAGCTGAGGGCTTACAAGAGCCAATGGATGCACACGTTTCTCCACTCCACTTTATGGAGTGGTATTGACAGATGGCCACACTAAAAAGCTGTAGGATTCTCTGATGAGTTTAACGGATGCAGAAGATAAGTAGAGAGAGACACACAGAGAGAGACAGAGAGACAGAGAGACCCCCAAGTGCAAAAGATGGGAGCTGCTTATTCAACAGTATAGGCAATTATACCACAGGAGGGATGATAATGACAGCCTCGTTGTAATGCTGTCAATCTCTCTGGTTAAATCACTCTGAAATGCCAATGCAATCCAGAATAAGTCTAACACTCTTCTCCAACACAAAATATAGAGGGGGGAAACTGGCGCCACAGTCAAAACAATTCTGTGCCAGAAGGGAATATTTTCTGAAAGTGAAACTCAACCCAAAATCTATCTTCTGAGTATCAAACAATCATCCCTGTGGGCTTGAAAGCAGGTTGTAAAAACTCTGCAGTTTGCGCCTTCACAAAGAATTCATGTCACAATGGATCCCCCAAAATGTGTTCACAACATTGGGTCTGTGTTGTGGCTCGCATCAAGTTCAAGACTCTGGTGTTAATCTGGAGGGCAGCGAGGGGAACTACTCCGTCAAACCTCCACATCATGGCCCAACCCTGTGCTATGGCGTGCCCACTGCACAAAGGAGCACAATGCCCTTGTGGTTGCTAATCTCAGTCAAGGATCTTTTTTTGACTTTGCAGTCCCCACCGAAGTCAGGACAGCAGAATCATAGCCCTTACTCTGCCGCAGACCCTAAAACCCAACTTTAAAGATTACATCTTGACACACCATCTTAGCGCTTACTTCTTGTATTGTAGCATTGAGGATACTTTTAGTTGTTTGTTTAATAGAGTTGTGGTTAACTAGAGTGAGTTGATGACAACTCACTCTAGTTCCCATCAAGGTTGAATTTATTGTATGAAATTTATTGTCAGTTGCTGGAACCTCTTAACACACCTGAAGCATAATTCACTGCTCTGGTGTACCTCTGTGTGCTCAGCAAAAGAAATATGGTTAGAGAAGCTCCTTCCATGTCACAATATCACCTTTCCTCAAACTACAAATACCTACTTGAAGTAGCATAAATAGCTCTGTGTGTTTGCAACGTACTGAGCATGAGAACAGGCAGCAGAGAAGTGGATTATGCTGTAACGCTTTCTGACACTTTTTGTCTCACCACCATTGTAATCCAATAGAACTGACACAAACTCAAGATAACCGTGGCTCCCGTTGTGTCTGAAGGAGCAAAATACTAAATTTTAACAGCCACCTTTAAAGACTGCAGGGCTGAGTGTTTGATACAAAGATTTTGGGTGGAGTATCACAGAAATACCTGAACACGGGAAATTTAATCCACACAGACAAAGACAACAGAACAAAATACAATAGACAGGGTAATAAGAGACACAGATTCTCTAATACAAGTTGTCCTTGTACGCCTACACAACATGATCACGAATCAAAATAAAATTGACAGAAAACAAGGGGATTCTCACATTTAAAACATGCAGTCTGTCTCACTAGTCATTATTTTTAATATCAACAAATCTGTCAAGTATTATTTTGATGGACTGATTAATCGTTTAGCCTGTGACAGTGACATTCAAGTTACAGCCCGTGGGCCACGTTTGGCTGGCAATAGTGTCCCTGGCAGCCTGCCGACCATTTTCTAATTCACAATGAAAGTAAGTTGATTCACACTGGGGATTTTATTGTAGATGGGTGTAAATATGTTGCAAGAGTATATATAAAAGCATCAAAATATAGCTTGTTTATAGGATCCCCTAACCTAAGCCCCAATTGCCCTCAAATCCTAGAAACGCTAGAATTGCCCCCTGCGTACATCTGACCTATGGAGGGCTGCTGCGACTGGATTTTCCTTTTGGCAAACACTGAAAGGCTGAAATTAGGCAACTCATGTATTTATTATATGTACTGATAAATACTATTGTTTGTTTATTAACTGGTCCCTGGCCTCCTGTCATTTGGCAAAACTGGCCCCTCAGCAAAGCAAGGTGAGTATCCCTGACATGTCAAAAAAGAGTGAGAAATGCCCATCACAAATTCTGAGAGCGCAAAGTGACATCTTCGACATGAAATAAAACACAAAGAAGTAGCAACTCTTCACATTAATCTCTATATTTGCATGAAAGCGCTACGAATAATCAATCATCAATTCATTCATTTTCTGTCGATGGACTAATTAATTCATTGAGGTTTTAGCTGTAATTCTATTTTAAGTTTTACCACAGGCTCATAAAGCATAATTAACCATTACAGCCTCTGTTACATACCAAAATACATTCATGGAAAGCTCTCAAACCACAATATATTTTGGTCACACTGCTATCGGATCTTTAAAACTAGATACGGAAGCACTCAGGCTTCTGCTGCGATCAGAACTCTATGTGGTCTGAATGTAATCCAGCCACATGATAGCCACTTTGCCTGCAAGTGAGTATGCGCAATGCTATGATGCAGAAAATGCTTATCTGTAGAATGAGGTGTGAAAAGTCACATAGACTTGACACATAAATCCAAACTCTTTAAGACAAAGTAATGGTGATATGGAGGCCCTGGGAGGAGACAGGGTTCCTAAGGCAAACTAGATGTAAGACTTTTAAGACTTTTTAATGCCACTCAGACTAATTTTATTAAAACAAAAAATAACAGGAAAAAAACAGCATCACTCACTTAGGGTTAGAAACAATTTGCCCAAAAGTTTATTGTAACATAAAACATGACTTGGCGATTTTTTGTTTCTCCCTCTGCATGTGGGATTCCACTGCTTGATTCCTACTGTGTTGAGTTTGAAAAACTTTTTTGCATAATAGTACACCAACATCATATGCTTTACCCCGAAATCTTGGTTAAACAGACAATTTTTGTTGAATTTTTATTGTCCAGGTACAGTGACAGCTTGCTAGCAGACAGTGAATCCTCTGCTCTGAGCATCCTGGCCACAAACAAAATATCCCACTATCCTGATATGCGTGACGTTAAGGCAAATGTGAATCTATTTTGAGATTTTACTATGCAACATCCTACTTCCCATGTCTTAACTAGGGATGCACCGAAATGAAAATTTGTGGCCGAAGCCGAAGCCGAATAATATTAAACACTTGGCCGAATACCAAGTACCGAATACCGTTGTTTAGTTTTTCATTAGTTTTTGCAGATGAACCCCCTCCAGATTAGTGTTGTCACGATACCTAAATTGGATCCCACTGTACGATACCAATGAAAATATCATGGTTCTGAGTAGTATCACGATACCACAGCAAAAATGAGGCAGATGTGCCTTTTGTCATTTATAAAAAGATAAATCACTTTTCTATAATACATCAATGATATTTCAATGGAATAAATTACTTATTGACTTATTCATACTTCAAAAACAGCATCAATAAGTGATGAACATAGGGGGGGGGGATCAAAATAAAATAAATAAAATAAGAATCAACCAGCCACCCTCCTCCCCTTACAAGTCCCTTCATAAGTAAAGAACAGTCCCTAAAGTGCGGTGAGGTTTGTGGGTCGTGAACGGCTCGTTTCTCCTCTGACACGTCACATACGTGTGTTCGGCTGGCTCGGCTGTTCAGGTACTTCTGGGCAGTCCACACGCCAAGAAGAGGATATTATTGGAGCCGACTTCTCCATTGCTGGTAAGCCGATGGCCGCCGTATTTGACAGGAATACATTACTGTCTGTGTCTGTGACCCCCGTTCAACCCACAATCGGTGGGATTCGCCTTTCGTTTCTGCTGCTGGTTGAAATCTGTAGGCTGCTTGCTCAGCGTGCTGAATGATTTAAGCCTATTTTGCTCGCACAAAACTATTTTTAGTCGCAAATGCGGGTGTGGTGATGGACGGATCGCCACACTGCCGACATTTTACTCCGCCCGTCACAGCACGCTGTTTGATTGCGTTATCAAAACACGCCGCTATTATTCGGCCTTGCTTTTCACTTATTCCACCGAATACCGAATGTGTGTTTTTTTGCAATATGTGGCCGAATATATTCGGTTACCGAATATTCGGTGCATCCCTAGTCTTAACATTTTAATGCTAAGACATGGGAAAGATTTTAATGCCAATTAAGGATTCAATGCCTTTTAAGACATTTTAAGGATTCGTGGGAACCCTGGTAAAGGACTTATTGTTTGAGCCCAACGTTGAGTACACATAAACATGACTAGAGATCCTCACAGATGCTCTTTCTCTACCTCGGCCCAGCCAGACTACTTCACACAGGCTGCAGTGACAGCAGCACTACAAGGGCCTTGTCCTTTGAGCCACACTCTGTCCCTCGCCTCGTCACAG